AAGTCTCTAAACATCTCAGGTACCTCAGCCATGCCTGCTTTGGGATATGATCATTCTGCCCCCCCTCCCCCACCAACTCACACACACACACACCAGAGAACCACATTAATGACTGTAGGCCTCTGTAGAAGACTTGCCTTTAAAATATACAAACACGGGAGCATGCATTCACACCCAGACACATAAACATTTATATGTTACATTTTTTAACATGATATATATTTTTTACGCAGGGCCAACCAACAATTTTTTTCCAAGGGAATTAAGTTAATTTGCTAAGACCTATGGGAATGTCTCTGCTCAAGGAAAATTAAACAAAGAAAGATGCTACAGAAAGGTGAAACATTTGATATGCATTAAATGAGGCCCTGTTAATAGTGTAACACTATGCTAGGCCCCATAGAAGACAGACAAAATATACAATATAGTCTCAATTCTCCAAGGCAGTGATAATCTGAAACTAGGACTGAACCCAGCTGTGCAGAATGGTGGGAGTAAATTCTCTGACACAGGAGGCTCAAATGACCTTGATTAGGGCACTTCGCATCTCTCATAAAATTGTTCTGGGCACTGAAAATATTGCTAAAGGATTGACTATGGGTCTTCACTTTGACAAACATACTCCAGACTTTCTACATAATAGAGACAGTTTTAGTTTGGACTAATTGTCTAGTGACAGGAGACGATACAAGCAATGGCTGTGCTGCCTTCTTCAGGGAGATGGAACTTAGGAGGCAAGATCCTCGATGACAGAGCAATTTGCTGCTTCCATGGCTTTTATTTGGGAGGTTACATAAAGGCTTAATCCCACTGGGTAGTCTCTCCAGGGTCATGTCCTCTCTTCCTTAACCACTCAAGTAGTCAGTCATCACCTGCTAGTTCTATCTTCTATGAATATAATTGAGGAGGCTGGTTCAGCGTATCCCTCTCCTCTCCCCTCGTGCTGAAGGTAAGAGAAAGTCTTTTTCTACCTCCTTCCAAATTTGCACCTGCTCACACTGAATTAGAGGGTGAATAATGGCTTTACAAATAAGACTCCAGGATTTGCGAACCAGTTCAGTCCATGACTTACGGTGTTTCTCGGATGTCACTTGGCAACCCAATTAAAAGTGGTAATAACTAATCTTAGTCAAAGAAACATTGAGGGATTGAATAAATATAAAAATTTGGATAAAGTTTAAGAATTAATAAAAACCTTTTGGTCACATGGTACCTCATTTAATCCTCTGGTATGAAGCAGATATATTCATATCATACCCTTAATACATACAAAGAAAGGAGGAAACAGTTAACATTCATTGTACAACTTCATAGGTTTCCTACATCAAACCAAGTGTTTTAAATAATTTTTCTCATTTAATTTCATCACAGCTCCATTATGTGTTATTATTTACAGCTTTTAAACATGAAGAAACAGAAATTAATGTGAGATGATCTGCCCCAGGGATTATGCTAATAATAGAGGCTGGGATTCTAGCTCAGGTCTGTTCAGTGACAAATCCATCAGCCTCCTCTTTTACATAACACTAGCTAGACAACTGGAGAGCTGTGCTAGTCTAGAATATATCTGAATCTCTAGAATGAAGAGAGAAAATGTTTCCTGGAAGATTCTTGCCTACTGGGGCAAGGCTAACAGGAGAGGTAAGGAGGAGTCTGAGAGTATGAAGTGAGGTTCGACCTGGATGCACTGAGATCTGGGGGAGATTTCTGATATGAATCATGCAGCACACTTGGGTAAGAGCTTAAATTGCTTGACATATTAAGACCAGGTTATGTGAGAAATAGTAAAAGGAAATTAGGAAAAACACTTAGAGCTGCAGAATAAGAGCTCGTTAGCATCTGAAGTGTTTTATGCAGAAATGGCCACATTGTTTAGAACAGAAGGAGTACCCTAAACTTCCACAGAGCTAGGTTTCAACAGATCACAGAAGTAACTTTCAGAGAATCTAGTATTCCAACAAGGGAGTTGGTGAGCCTGGAGGTAATGAAAATCCTTGGGCTTTAAAGGTGGCCTGATGTCCCCACATTAAATGAAAGATTCAAATATCTCTAATAAAAGACCAAACTAGACAATTTCTGAGGGGCTTCCAGCACCAAGAATTCATAACATATGACAGCTCGGATGTAAATATTTTATTACAGATGCTGGACAGCAGCATTGAGATGATAAATATTTGATGCAATGAATATGCTAATAATTAGCCTGACCTAATCATTCCTCAATGTACACGTGTCTCAAACCATCGTATGGTACCCACAAATACATACCATTATTGTCAATTAAAAATAAAAAATTTTTAAAAGATGATGTGAACATAACAGACTAAAATAAAATTCTCAGAAGTCATGAAGACATGAATTTCAAAGCCTCCTTCTTTCGTAACCCATGCCGACCAGCCTTCACGTATCAGGTTGTTGTAGGCTTTTCTATGCTATTTTCTAGATTGATAGGGTTTTTCCCACAGTGTCACCCAAATATGCATATGAAATTTTTTACCATCAGGTCTCCTAAACAAGTGATTTGACTATGAAATAATCTTAAATTTTTCACTTAAAAATAGAAGTAAAAAATGGGAAAAAATGGTCTATGTTTTTCACAGTATGCTTACCCATTCAAAATATAATTATTTTTTACACAGTCTATGTATGCAGTGATGTCATCATAGTTCACTGAACCTCAAATTTCTGGGCTCAAGCAATCTTCTTGCCTCAGCATCCTGAGTACCTGGGGCTACAGGCATCCACTACCATGCTCAGCTAATTTTTTTCCTATTTTTAGTAGAGATGGGTCTCACTCTTACTCAGGCTGGACCTCAAGCAATTCTCCAGCCTCAGCTTCCTCAAGTGCTGGGATTACAGGCATGTGCCACCATGTCTGGCCAAAATATAATTATCGAGTCTCTACAATTTGTACAACATAAGTCTTGGTGATCATGAAGATATAAAAATACATATAAGTCAGAATGGCTGCCCTTGAACTTACAAATAATAATGATAATTGTCTTTTGTTATGACCATTACCATAAACTGGTCATTGTGATAGATATCTTACCTTACCACTCCACTGAAACTCAAGCAATCCTTGAGTAGAAGTGTAATTATCCCCATTTTTCAAATAAAGAAACTGAGACTTAGAGAAATTATATATTGCCTGGCATCATGTTACTGGGGAATAGAATTATTCTAACCACATCATTTAATTTGAGAGCTGATTTCACACTGATATACTACCCATCCTCTGCATTATAGTAAATGTGCAACATGCTAAATGGCATTGGAAATAACTCCAAGCACTACTGAAGCTCAGATGAGGAAAACACAGTAACTGAAAAAGACACTACTTGCTAGCTGTTCACAAAACAACAGAGAGCCATCATGCCCTCTTAATATTTGTGACTGCCTGCAATCACATTGGTCCCCATGCTTATAACACCGTGGTAGGTTTATGTGAATGATTTTTACTGGAAATGGTGTTTCCAGATAGAAATTTCTCTTCAAAGCTCATATTGAATAATAGAAAATATTAAAATTTGGCAAGTTAAAGTCAGGTCATATATTACCTCTTTTCCACGTCCCTGAATATGAGTTGGGTCTGGGAATAGAAGTGGAACGGATGCCCTGTGCGAGTTATGTCTGTTCATTAAAGGATTTTCATGAAAACTAGATGGCTTCTCCCCAGATTTCACATAATCTTCTTTAAAATACGGGAAAGGGGGACTGGCTCAGTCTTTCATATTCAAGCCCAAACTCACAGGAAAGATTCTTAGATTTTTAACAGCTTTTATCACATATTTTTTTCATACCTCCACAAACCAGACGGAATCCTGTAATAAAACACCCTGTTTCCTTCAAGTCCTTATATGTCCCCGCATTGGATAAGGCTAAAGAAGCCAAGAGTAGGGAAGACTTTGTTTCTGAGGCTCATCCCTGACACTGTCAAGCTCAGGCCTGTGCCAGCCCTTTGTCCCAAGTGCATGTTTTTCTTTCTTCGTTTTCTTTTTATTTCTTTCTTTTTTTTTTTATTAAATCATAACTGTGTACATTGATGCGTTTATGGGGTTCAGTGTATTGATTTGATCTACAATGTGAAATGCTTACAGTGAACTGATGAACACATCCATCCCAATTATAATCTTTTCTTAATAGTTCTGAAATGTACCATTGCATCATGCACATTAGGTGAGGTCCCCCGGAATACCCTCCCTCCTCCCACTCCCCTCTTCCCTCTACTTTCTGGACTATAGCTTTTCTTTTTTTACCATTTGTATGAATATGTAGGTACTTATACATTGATTTCATAGTAGTATTGAGTACACTGGATACTTTATTGTCCATTCTTGAGATACTTTGCTAAGAAGAATATGTTCCAGCTCCATCCAGGTAAACATAAAAGATGTGAGGTCACCATCTTTTTATGGCTGCATAATATTCCATGGTACACATATAACACATTTGTTAATCCATTCGTGGATCAATGGGTTGTTTCCATGTCTTGGCTATTAGGAATTGGGCTGCAATAAACATTCTGGTGCAAACGTCTTTGTTATGATGAGCTTTTGAGTGAAACACCCACAGACTACTAATGTTAACACCTGCATGTAAATAAATGTATGAACGAATACATTCTTGGCTCCCCTCTCTCACCTCCATGATTTCCAGCCTCCAAGATTTCTTGACAATTCCTTGTGGATTTGCTAAGAAAATTTAATTTTCATCCCACTACTTCTGAAAACAGTTCCTAGAGATCCTGCCCACTTTTCCTCAACAATCTCCTCCATAGTTTGGCCCAACTCTTGGCAGTTAGAATTTCAGGTGTAGATATTTCTGTGGAGAAACTTAGTAAAGTGGAATTAAGGAAAAAAAAAAAAAAGAACCAGTTCTTGTTTCCAGTTCCAGACCTGATTAGATTAGATTTGCGGATTAAAGTGTAAACTAACGTGCGCTCAGTCTGATTCTTCCGTCCGTCCTGTAACTCTCCGCAGAGACTCGCTGTCAGCTCAATGGCCTGGGGGAATCGCTCTGTGCTGACCAACATTGCGCTCCTGGCTTACCCCAGCAGCCCGGGGCTGCGCTTCCTGTTCTTCCTCGCGGTCAGCCTGGTTTATACGTTTATCATCTCTGGGAACGTCCTCATTGTGGTGTCCATTCGCACAGAAGCCCGTCTACACACCCCCATGTACTGTTTCCTGGGCAGCCTCTCCGGGGTAGAAATATGCTACACGGCAGTGGTGGTGCCCCACATCCTGGCCAGCACCCTGCAGTCGGGGAGGACCATCTCCCTGCTGGGCTGCGCCGCCCAGATGGTGTTCTTCATCGGACTGGGCAGCGCTGACTGCTTCCTCTTGGTTGCCATGGCCTACGACCGCTACGTCGCCATTTGCCATCCCTTGCAGTACCCCGTCATCGTGACATCGGCTCTTTGCATGCGCTTGGTTGTGGCCTCTGTGGTCATCGGTTTGTTGCTGTCCTTGCAACTGGCAGCCTTCATCTTTTCTCTGCCATTCTGCAGGTCTCGGGGTATCGAGCATTTCTTTTGTGACGTGCCACCGGTCATGCGTCTTGTCTGTGCCGACAGCCACATCCACGAGCACTCGGTGCTCACGGCGGCCACACTGGCCATCGCTGTGCCCTTCTTCCTCATTGCCGCCTCCTACGCCTGCATAGTAGCCACGGTGCTCAAGATCCGCTCGGCCGCTGGGCGCCGCCGGGCCTTCTCCACCTGCTCCTCGCACCTCACCGTGGTGCTGCTGCAGTACGGCTGCTGTGCCTTCGTGTACCTGCGCCCCAACTCCAGCTACCGCCCCAAGCAGGACCAGTTCATCTCCCTGGTGTACACACTGGGAACCCCACTGCTCAATCCGCTCATCTACACCCTGAGGAACAGTGAGATGAAAGGGGCCATAGGGAGACTTCTAAGCAGGAATTGCCTGTCCCAGAACCTCCAGGACAGGGGAGGGTACCACCTATCAGGCGTAAGTTCGGTTCCAGCCACGTGAACGCCTGTGCAACTAGGATTTCTCTCGGTTGATGTGAAAAGGAATTTTTAAAATAGTACACATTTTGCAGATAATGTTTACATGTGCCAAAGACTTTAAAATGTTTCTAAAATTTGACTCAGTCAATTTTCTTCTGAGAAATAGATGTATATGCAAGTCAGCATCACATAATATAAAGTGGTAAAGTTTAAGATTGTATCCATGTACCTGCTGAAACGAGATGGCTCATTCACTAGATTGAGCTAACAGTAATATAGGGGCTGTCTATGGTGCCTGTGCATAAGGAAACCAGCGAGATGTGGCCATGTCTGGCTGCTCTGTTATTCGATGTAGACATATTTAGCACTGACATACTAGCAATAGCAAGAAGGCATTATCACCCCCTAGGACTAAAAGACAAAAAAGGATGCAGTATTATCTGAGACCAGTTGGAACTAGATCTGAGAAGAGAAACTACAGGAAATGTGGCTTTAGAAATAAAAAAGAACTATGGCCACGCAACGAGAGAACAGGAAGGTACATAGCTCAACCTCTCTCTGCTCAAAACCTTCCATCTCTTTGCTGTGTCTCCCACTGGCCAGACCCAACTGGTAGCAAGAGGGCTGGGGAGACCCAGTGCACTGAAGTTAATCTCTTGGGGTACACTGCAAGGAAGGCAGTCTTTGAGAATTAGGGGTATGGCTCGGCGCCTATAGCTCAACCGGCTAAGGCGCCACCTACACCTAAGGTGGCGGGTTCGAATCCCCAGCCCGGACCCGCCAAACAACAATGACGGCTGCAACCAAAAAATAGCCGGGGGTTGT